ATTGAGCATTTACGTTAATTAGAATTATTATTTCTTTTATTATTTACTTAATTCATATTTCTCTGATTTAAAGTTTGAATAAATTTTTGTTGTTCATAATTTCAAAGCTTAGATAGAATGTTAATTTTGAACTGCCATCGCCTCATTCACTTTGACCAGACTTTGACATAATTATCGGTTGCTATGTGTTCATTTGTTTCAAATCCAACTTGAATGAATATAAATATTGCAGTTAAAATTTGTGAATGATCGTATTTTCGCCATATCTCTGCTTAGAAAACAGATATTAAAATGCGGTTTTCACCGATATTCTCACTTTTTCATCTTATTTGATAATATCATATAATAATTATATGGTTCCATTTGAAATTTTCAAAAAAACCGGCAAAGTTTATGTTAATGTCACATCGCGCCTTCTACCACTTATCACATTTACTAAAAAGGACTCTCTATTCATGTAGAATGTGATTTCACGAAGAGAGGTCTTTCCAACAAGACCTAGTCTGTGAAAATCTGTTAACCTAATCCGAAGTTAGATACAATTCCTTAAAGAGATGTTCCCCTTCCCCCACCCTTCTTATTTTATGAGCTGTGAAAAATTGATATGATTGCGATGCATGTATTTTTTATGCATCTTTGTTGGGCATATTTTAGGAAAAAAGTCATTTTTCTACTTAACCATCAATCGTACGCCCTAGCGACAAAGCTAGAAACTTGAAAATAATTTCCAGCGATTTCTCTTGGCCCCTTTTGTTAACAAACACTCTCAAAGAAATTGATCGGAGGATCGGAGCTTTCATTAAAATTTCTTACTAAACGAAATTTAAATGAATTGTAGACGGAGCATCACTGGTAGTAACAGTCAGTCAGTGGCCCTATTATGCAGTATAATATACTATATTATGTCATTTCATTTTATTTAGTATCTGTTGCCAGTACGTTCGGTAAATATGTATATACAGTGTGTTCGAGATCGCGTGGGATTGCATGGGTAACTTTGTTCTTATTAAAGATAGAGAATTGGTTAAATGGACAATGTTTTGCAGTTTTAGATACTTATTTAAAATTTCCTTGTAAAAATTCAAAATGTCGAATAGGTTCGACGTAAATTCAAACAACCTAAAATTGGTCCTTACCTTGAAAGTTTTATATCATCGAGAGTATAACTACTAGCATTGAATAAGTAATCATAGGTACTTATTCATTGCTACTAGTTAATCAGTAACTTGGCGTACTTCGAACAACGACAGCACGTGAAGGGTAAAAATTGTACTCATGCAATGCTCGCGCGTATTACTGTCATGCAAAGCTCGAAGCGGAGCGCGTCCGTGAAGAGCGGCCTTATTATTTGTACAACTAGTTTTGAAAGTGATATATTTTTTCATGAATTTGCAGTTTGATTAATGAGGGCGACTGAGAACTGAGCCCAAAAGTTTCGTTACCCTGCAAGTTCGCGAGCAAGCTTGGCTCGGAGCATCCCTACACATTCATGCCTGGACTGAACCGAGTGAAAACTGACAAATAGCTGAGTGTCTAGGGGAACGTTAGTATTCCCGGCATGAGTTTATATTGCATAGGTAATTCCCTTTATAAGGTTTTGATCATGATACTACGCAGTTGTAGTATATCATGGGTGTTGATAGCTACTTATACAATGGTTACGTTTGCTAGGTATTAATTACCGTCACTCAGGAGATATTAAAGTATGAAATCATATAGAAAAGTGAATACAAATTAACACGAACACATTCTCACGGAGTTAGGTCAATTGTCTTATTGAGAATTGGTACAAGTCAATTGAGCCTTGCGACAAAGTTTTGACGAGCAATCCTGTTTACAACCACAAATGATATCTATAGCAGCCTCCGGAATTGATTCTAACGTTGTGAGAATGAGAATGAGCCATTTTCAACTTTCCCCAGGATATCAAGGACATATATGGTCTGGGCCGTCTGGGCAACATTTCAGATCTTAAGATCTACCTAATGAGAATTACTCCTCATATGCAGCAATAGCAATGATGGAAATGGATAAAATGCTAAAGAATGGAATTCAGAATTGTTAGAATAAAGCTTCGCAGCTCCCGAAACCTGGCAATCAGAGGCGGCTTATGGGCTTTCTATTTGGAGAGGTACTGAGTAAAACTTTGTCATTTATAAAGAACAACAGTTTATTTTTACATGATGCTTACGATTTTGTCACTTTTTAAAATAAAATTCCTCTGCACATCATGAACAACAACAAAGACGCTCTTCTTGAAGTACCGGTAATCAACCAAACTTCGCTTGCCAGTTTTTTTCTCTAAGTGATGAAGACGCAACGGGAATACATCTGTATATGTAGCAGACAGGACAATTTGCTGTGCATTACTGGATAATGCTTTTAGAATGATCCTTAGTATCCGCTTCATCGTAAAAACTTATAGGGAGGATATCTGTATCGTCGAGCGGTTACAGAAAACTTTTCTTTTATCACCGAAGCCTCCAGCAATCACCAGTGCGCCATCTAAGGTAATGCGACAAGAACTCAAATCAAATTTGTTTTGTTTTCCTCTAAAGTCTAAAGAAGGGAAATTCTTCCAAATTTGAGGTAATGGAACATCGCGGTTATCTATCACACGACGCACAAGAACCAAAATGCTTGCCAAAACATATACATAACTACACGATGTGAACGAATAAAAACAGTAGTTATAGCAGTATGAAGCACTTAATAAAAAAGGTTTCCACTTTTACGAAGTTTGACGTTAGAAAAACTATGAAATAATTGTTCAAACATTTGTTCACGATTATTATCCTGCCGTACCCTGTACGTACGTAGAAATAACGTTATAAATGGTTTTCAGATTAGATCGAAAAAATCGTTCGCAAAAGTGTATTTCCAGAAATTGGCCGCCATGTTGGATTCTGAGCTCCGGGTCCAGATTTTCAGATGGCAACATCGATATTCGTGTTTGGATTTGCATAATATTTTCCCATTGCCTTACTACTCTTATTCATATATAATATAATCAATCAGTAAAATTCCCTGAGAGTCCCACTGCATCGGCTCTTGTTTCGATTCAAAAAAACCTGCGTAGCTCAGATGAGTTTACGTTAGTAGCTCTAGCTCTGGCTACAAGGGTCCTGGGTTCGAATCCCAGGTAAGGCATGGCTGTTTGTGATTGTATAGTGGGTTGAGTGGGGAGAATAGCTAATAAGCTAACACTCCGCCCACTATAAAATAAAGGCAATAAAAAAAAAATCATAATGATGAACCCAGGTCTCGTCTCCATTGACAAGTCCATTGATAGTTCAATCTGATTCACCTCCATCGCGCCAAGAAACAAGAATTATTCACAGGTCCCTGCGCGGACACGTATTTGATGGAAGGGTTTCGCGAAATCCATTTTGCATGGTTTCTGAATCCCCTCGCGAAGCTGCTAATTGTCGCTTCTTTAGTCTTTTAATCTTGCATCCTCCAGTACCGAACCCTTGTTTTTTTCAACAACATCTCAAGTGATCATATTAGTTTATTTTTTGATTTGCACGATAATTACTAACCTAAATGTAATGCTATTTGGTATGGTTGGAAAGCATTTTTTCAGAGCTTTCCAACGACGTATCACACATGGAGGGTAACTATTTAAGATTTAAAAGTTGGGGTGACTGGGGCGCAGGGGGTTGGAGTGGGTGCATCGCCAACTATGTCATTGTGATTCCCCCTCCGAATTACCGAAACGGATTTTGATTTTTTTAAATATCTCGTTTATTTACTAAGACATGGGGGGTGGTAAGTTTTCAAATTGCCACCCTGTATGTATCATTTTAAATGGACCGCGTCAAAGCATTATTAGAGAATTTAGACCACTGAAAAAAATTTTATTTAATGTTAAACGTTAACAAATGCTAAAATGTCTTTGCCTTTCCGTTTTTTCATACATTCGCAACTCCCTGTATTTGATTATTTCGCCTTTAGCGTATTTCCCAAAAGGCAAATAAATGCTATTGTCCGTCTGTCCGTTTGTACCACTATTAGTCCTCCAGTTTAAGCTTATTCGTGGTGATTTCTTTCTTATACGGTACATTAACATCTAACGATCCCTCAAATACCGGGATCGAAATATTGCTGCGGGATTGCATTCCCTACCTCCAACGCATCGGCATTTTATATCAAAACCTACTTAATTTTTGGTTTGTGTTTAATAACTTCATTTATTATTAAACCATTTGTATTGTGTGCAATTCCACTATTACAATAAGTACCAAAATTTAAAAATGTTGAGTGAGATTGGTCCGTAACTATTTACGTTCCCTAAAATTTGATCTAAATCTTGTGTCCGTAGAGAAATTGTACGTACTTGTTTCAAAAGAATCTCTTCGCATATGGTACAATGAGTTTACTTTGATTTAGCAGTTTACATTGCAATAGGTGACTCTTACGGTCTACCATTTTTGATGTGTGGTCTAGTAGTTGCGAAACAGTTGCCAAATCCTGCCCTCTACCAGAGAGTAAGTAATAACTATTCTTGTTTCATTTATTCACACTATGCTTGTAAAAGGGAATATTTTGTGGGTGGTATATGACAGACACCAGTACATCCATTTCATTGTTTATTTATAGTTAAAGGACCATAGTCAAAGGTATACCCACATAAGTATGATAGGTTGCCGAGCCTGCTCCCATGCGAATTCCACTGGAAATTTATCTGTAGAATTTGAGACAAGCAAAATAGATTCTTCATCATTTATGGCAGATTTCTAATGTTACAGTTTATCGTACAGTCTCCATGTGTCATTTACTTAAGTTTTAACTTGCACATGAAAAACAAACTCTCAGTCAATAAACCCGTTTCCAGGCATATATCATTACAAAAAGTAGCTACTTACCTCAGGCCTCATAGCTCTACCATGTCTACAGCGTATTTTCCTTTATTTTAAAAAGACTTACCTGTGTAAGTTACAGATATTACCATTAATAAATCACAAGGTATTCTGGAATGTTAAATAAAATGAGTAGTATTATAATGATTATATTTATTATGCTCTTAAAAATCTTTATTTCCAGTATTACTTTTACATATAAAAAGCCGTCAAAAGCTCGATCATTTTATCATAGATACTATAATGATATTAATTTTGCACGCGTATTCAATATAAACATCTTCACTCACTCTATGCCTCGCAGAGCATTGCATTTTCAGCACGTACTTATAGTTAATTTTTTTATAATATATAAATCTTACAGCTAAACAATAAAGGAAAAACCATTATGGTTCATTATAAATAAATAACATTTTCCTAGTGTAATTTCGACTCATACAATTTATAAAGCTCGACATTCTGTTACAGTAGCTCGTGGTGACCTCACAATGCCCTTCAATGCTTGAATTTGTGTAATAAATTAACAGTAAGTATCATTAAATATGAGGTTATTTGCCGAATTTTTATCTACTTCTCCAGCAACATCCAAATAGGTACTCTAGTAGTAGTTACACAATAAATGATTTAACAACAGTTTTTAGTTTGCGATGCGTGCCGAATAAAGGAAACTTGACATTAATAATGAAACATTTGAATTTAAGCAACTATCCTAATTTGGTCAAATTTGTACATTCGGTAAATAAATCAAATGATATATTTTGCAGGTACTCACTCACATATAAATATTCTACTTACTTGTAATATTTTTCTATTAAATTTTTTTAAATACATATAATAATAAATATGTAGCCCTTAAATTCAAAGGTTTCCCAGTTGAAACGTAAACACCGGTAGTTTTAGGGAATCAAAGACTAGTTCTGAATAGAATTAATTTAAACTTTTAACAATACAATATAATCTAACTAAATTAAAAAATTAACTAAATTTTCCATTTGCTAATAAGTTTTTGTTTGCTATTAGTGCTACTAAACTTACTTTTTTTCCTAAACTATCCATACTTTTAAAGTAGAAATTATAAGGGAACTAGTCCAAATCCTCTAAGCAATGTAAAGTGTCCTTTATTGTGAATTCAACAACACACGCATATTTCAAGTAAAACATAACAAATGTTTATATAAAAGGAAATAAGCAAAAGTAGGTAAAACATTTTCAAAATTTGATATTGCTTGCTTAAACCTTTGATAAAAAGTGTAATAATAATAATAAAATAAGTGGAGCGAGCAAGTTGGGCCAGCATCTTTTGTACTCATTCAGTTATCACTAGTAATATTGTTTGTAAAACTAAAAGTTATTGCGCCACTTGTACTCTGAAAATGAAGCCAACTTGACTTTTTTGTATGCTCGTAGTGAAACAAAAATCGTTGAAGATAGCGCAATTTCGTTACCCGGGATTGTTTATATCAATGTAACAATGCGGCACCAACAACCATTTTCAAAGACAAATCTCGCTGGACCTACTCTAAAAAAATCGCCATTCGTGCCAGCTGCCCCATACTTGCACTCTACTACAGTGTACACTATAAACAGACATAAACTACCCTCTCAACTCTCAACACTTTCCAATATTATAATATATGTGTAATTGAAAACAGCAAGGGCGCCATTCCACGATTAGCTATTTTAAGACCAATGTCACCATTCGAACGGCACCCAACAAACTACAACACCAAACGTTGTTTACTCAGCTTTATTAGGTAAATTTGTACTTCGACAAGGGAGTAAACGAAGGACGGCGCTACGCGTTAATGATAACAATAACGTCGTCAGGTGAGCCCTTCGTAAACGCAAAAGCAGGGGACCCCACACATCCATGAGCCAACATAAAGACGATATACGAATTTCTTAGTCGACTAATACATACTAAAGTACTATTTTGCAGTATAAAACATAGTTATCGATCATTTTTTTGCAAATTTTATTCTATTCTAATCGTATCACTCGAAATTTTTATTACTATTATAAAATCACACTTGACATGGAACAAATTTTCATAAGCGCCCATGTTTACCATGAAAGACAATTTTGTGCAATTTTCTTGCATTAGGCCCTCGGCGAGTTGGTTTTTTTACCCTACGATAATGCAGGTTAGGTGTGAATCAAATTAATTCGTTTTATCCAAAATACACATAAGTGCAGATCCTCCTCCCCCCTCCACTCACACTCAGAATCATGGAATGTGAAGTACATAAAGCTAACTAATGAAATTACAGGAATGACACGCATTAAAACGGAACTTATCTTATGTTTTTATCTTCAGTAATATGAAAAATTTCGTTCCAGTTACCTAGTCATGTGACCGTAACATTCTCAGATTCTGAGTACATCAAGAATTTAAAATTTGGTGACAAGTATTAGAAAGTAAAAAAGAATGGACGCTTATGTACTTCAATGGCTAAGCCTCGAATCGGCGAAGAACTCTTATGCCAGTTCCACAACTATTATTAGACGTAACTTTAAAATGCCGATCGTATAAAAATATATACTCCAAAAATAGGGGTTTTCCAATAATGCACTTTGCACGAATATGGGCCAATAATGCGTAAATGTAGCCAATAGTTATCGCGTAAATCCTACACCTAAAAATGCTCATGGTGAGTGGAGAAACACTAACACAACTAGCGACATAAGCAGACACATAGTAAGATGACATAAATATGATCTCTACTTGGAACAAAAGCTATATAGAGGGATTACAACAGTGGTGCTTTACATTACGACCCTTACCCTGATTGCGCCAACGTGAAATATTGTGCAACGACAGCCTTATCAACATGTTGAACACAGCCAACGGTCGGATTTTTTTAAATCTTTGGATTAACTTCGTCTACGGATCCACACATACAAAAGGTGCAATGGTACTCACAATCGAGAAATTGGTGGCAATCGATGAGGACAAGGAACGTATAGGAACTGTCGTATTTACCCAAAATTGTCAAGGCTAAATAGGAACCGGTTGCCTGTCTGGACACATTGGCGAAGAAATTTCCGAACCGTGCTGTGTTAAAAAAAATAGAGGACGCTGCGCTCACCGCGACTTGCGGAGTAATTTTGGGTTATGACTTTTGTTTTTCAAATAAACGAGTCGAGCTCTGGCAGCCACCTATTGGTCCTCGCACCAGCTGGGGTGCCCGCGCCTCCTCAATGACTACCTACACTTAAATTCGTATTTTAGAATTATATCAAACGACTACAACTAGACTTAGGTATACAAGTAATCGACATAGATAATACCAATTTTAGAAAAATTTCGAATTCGATTATGTACAAGTTTTTGGAGTATAAAAACATATCAATCGACACGGAGATTGACGAAACGTTAGACCGCGTGAATTTTGCCCTCGTTAACAATAAACAAAACGGGAAGACCTACCGATTTCTTCACTAAGCGGTTTCATGCATTGCTAAACTACTGTTTTACAGCTACGTTAAAGATTAAAAGGATGCTGGGATACGCTCACGCACGTAAATCAAGTCGGTCGCTGTTATCCAAGTAACCAAATCGAATTCATATAAACAGCATCAGTTAGTACCTTTATTGCAACAGTATTGTTTAAATCTATTTTATAAAATTTGTAAAAGTAACGAACGGTTTGTACTCAAATCAATTTCAACTAGTATTTGAATTCATTCAATATCGCCAACTACTGCTTCTTCGCCGCGTTATCTGTTTCTGAATTTTTGAAAAAGTGCAAGTGTAGTGAAGTGGCAGTGTTTATCTTTGAGAGACCGACCGTCCCCAAATTCTATTCATCACTTATGACACATGCTCCACTTATAATCCATGGGACTCTAAATCACCTTGTTCGTGGCCCCGAATCATTTACGCCTATTACTATTATTATTGGGACACAGCAATATTACTTAATCTGTACTTAAGTAAGCGATTTGTATCAAAAAGGCAACTGCCATTAGACAGAAGCCGTTTACATTAATCCTACATATAAAATATCCCGATTGCTTTTTAACATTTGCAATTACTCACTGTTTTGCAGTTCTATTTATTCCACAAAACTTTAAAGGGCGATTCATCACTCGCTAGGTATTGTACTAAATCACAAACTTTTCTAACTAATAAAACATTTAAGTAAACACTAAACACTAACAAAAACATAATGGATTTATAGAACAGTTAACTAAAAAAACCTATTTTCCCGCGTTCCGTTACTCAAAATGTTACTTAAACAACAAATTCAAGTTAAGGGGATGAGCGGAAGCGGTAAAATACAAAAAACATAAACATTTTAAATGCGATATAAAATGCATAACAACGTAACAAATAAAAAGAACTAAGAAACGTCTATCGTGCGCGGGTGAGCTGCAAACGGCAAAACTCATCCAAACGCAGACCGGCCAATTCTCGCCACAGCAGGCCCAAGTCCAAGGACGAATCTCTTGAAGAAGGCGGTGTCGGAGAACGATGGCCGGTCTTGCGGCGGGCCGCGGGCTATGGCCACATTTGAAGGGATTGCGCCACCTGGTGGCGTGCGTAACAGTATATGAGAGGTTTTACGAAATGAGTGTCTAAAGTGCGACAATGAGGGCACGGTACCATGTGGCTGTAATCGCTGAAGAAATTTAGGCGTTGTGTTGGATGTAACACCGGTTTAAAGCATGCGTTACACTGTAACAAAATCACATGTTATGTTATTGCTGTTCTAGGTTAGTTTATAGATGAGAGTACCTAGTCTAGGTGAGGAGTAGTCAACTATTTTAAACCAAATCTTTTTATTTCACTCTCTCAACTTGTCATAATCACTTTTAAAACTTCTGGGACACCTTAAAAAGTGACAAATCTTCGACATTTTAATGTCATAAATACATCACAGGTTCCATTTAATCACAATACGATTCATTTATTCACAAATTTCGCTGAAATAATCAAAACACACTATCTCGTTCTCGACCACCCTTTGGATCATGTCGAGAGAGTGAAGTTTCTTAAAATACTTCATGGCACTCTATTGAAAACGCTATCAATGAAATTTTCTATCGGCCTATCGTGCCGAAAACTGAGTGAAGAACGTGATCACAAAGAAAAAAATGGAAGAAGATACACAGTGTGCTATTATTGAATTCTTTTGACAGAGCAAGGAAGAGTAGTAATACACATTATCGTACAGAATATTATAGCCAAGAATGATTGGTACGTCATAAATTTATGAAGCTGGCTATGCAAAATTTATCGCAATTTTTATACTGCCCTTTCACTTTTCAGAAAATTAAATGAGGATAGTAAAAGGTGCAGTCAACAGAATCGAAGTGTGGTATTGAATGGGGTAATATAGTAACAAGAGAAAAGCAATACATAATAAACTAACTCTTGCAATTCGATTTTTAAAGAGAAATACTGTAACACAACATGACATGAAGTTTTCCTATGTTACATCGAAATCGAAGATATAAGTCGAATATTAAGAGTTGTGTTGTTATGGCACAGAAAATACAAGCAACATATTTTTGATCTTATGTGAGAGAAACCAAAACCTTTCCAAGTTCTTTTAGACTTTCTTTTTAAATCTTGATCATTTGTGAAACTTATTTCATCGAAATTATGTTCTGGAAGAGTACACATCCCTGAAATCTTTAAATACAAATAATCAAAAAACACAGCAACTCTCTTCACGTTCTGACATCATTCGACAAATGCAAATTGGAAGATCAATTTCGTTCTCATTTAGGTACGTACCTACTCAAATTTCGAGTATTCATTTGAATCGAAAAAAAGATCATTTTGCGAATATTAGTTGACTACCCCTCAATATGGAAAAGTCTGAAGGTTAGTCCGAATGACACCGGTGTTGCTTTATATTATGTACTTAGTAATTTTTATACATCACGAATACTGACCTTAATTCTCTCTGTACAACATGGCATGGCAGCGAAGATATCATAAGAATACATAGTTCCCAACACTAATGACGAACCATCCCATAGTTGCCTACAGAATCGACATCGTATTCCACGACCAGGCGCACCCTCCAAACAAGCCATACAAACTGCTGTTAAAAATTGTGTTCGCCCTTCCACTTTAACCTCTATGCAGCTTTTCGCATGTTGGCGTGGACTTAAGAAGAAGGTGCCATCCACTAGAGGATATCTATCGAACACGAGCATTTGGTCTTCGCATAAAACACAGTGTACTTTGGAACGTCCCTGAGATGCTAACGTTGAAAGAATGAAGCAGCGAGTGTCATCGTTCCCGTGATTGCCCTCGTCTTCCGTCTGAAAAGAAAACGCTCATTTAGGTAAATGCCATATAGCACACTATGTACATAGTACGTACATTATTCGTACATTTTACGTACGTTCGTCCATGTACAAAACATGTACGTACTGCGTACGTACAGTAACGGACGAAAATTGAGAAGTTAGCAAGTACGTACATAGTACGAACAATGTACAAACATGTTTGCAGTTACACCTGAACGTGCGCATTACTGGTTTTAGTGCGCATGCACTACATGCAGCTGTGTGAATAGTGAATGATTTGTTAATGGCGTCTTTTATTTGGTTTGCATAAACATTTGTTATCTTGGTTAAAGTTAAAAGTGTTATTCAGTGTTGGTGTTGTGACTTGGGATAGTTTTATTGGTGCGTATATCTTAAAATCATTTGTGTATACAAGTGGTAAATTCTTCATTTTCTGTTTTAAATACACATACAAAAGGCAGATTATAACCTATAATTGTGCATGTGGAATCATCTGCGTTCCCCTCTTTTATTATAGTAGGTAGTTAACAATTTGCTTAAAATTGCAAGTGTAGAAAAATGCCTAAATATAAATTATCCCGTACACATTACAGACATGCTCAACAATTGTCGAATGATACAATTGAACTCATAAACCGAACTGTAATTGAAACTGTACCAACTTCGGTAGCGACAAGTAATGAAACAACCGAATCTGCACAATCTACACCTATAATTGGAGATGATACGGTTAGTGAGTATGAATCAGAATCAGATTCTATTGACGATTTAGATGTCGACGATGAGTTTCGTAGTACAACCCCCAGTAGAGATGAGAATCCAGTTAATTCCACCGAAGGTTTAAATCCGAGTAATTATTCTTCACAAACAACTTTTGCTTCGTTACTTGCAGACTGGGGTGTCACATATCATATTGAACATATTGCTTTAAATAGTTTGTTACGCTTGCTTCGTCAACATTTCGATAACAATCTACCTGCTGATGCACGAACGCTATTAAAAACTCCTAGAAGGACTGATTTACAAGAAATTTTTCCTGGTAAATTTTTCTATTTTGGTCTCGATTCTGCAGTCAATAAAATTCTTGACAAATATGAACTTAGCGATAATATAGATGTAATTAAAATTGGTGTCAATGTAGATGGACTTCCATTAAGCAAAAGTTCCGGTAGTCAGTTGTACCCCATCATATGTAATCTATGGGAGAATCCCTCCGTCGTCGAAATGATCGGTTTATATCATGGATACGAAAAGCCCTCTGATCCAAACATTTTCATGCAAGATTTTATAAATGATGCGGTTTTGTTTACGAATAACGGTTTTATGTATAAGAATCGTACTATTCCATTTAGGGTAAATGCTATCATCTGTGATGTTCCAGCAAAATCGTTTATAACGTTTACAAAAGGACATAGTGGGTATAATTCTTGCTCAAAATGTCACATAGAGGGAGAATACGTTAACAATCGTGTGTGTTTTTACAACTCTTCAAATGTTAGAAGCAGGTGTGATACTGATTTTCGACAGAAACTTGATGAAGAACATCACACAGGTACTTCGATATTAGAAATTTTGCCAAACTTTGACATGATACGTAACATCCCATTGGATTACATGCATCTTATCTGTTTAGGTGTGATGCGAAAACTATTACTTTTATGGGTTTTTGGGAAACCAAATTCAAAGTTAGCACATATTCAAGTATCACGCATATCAAACTATTTAGTTGAGTTGTCTAAAAATATCCCCTGTGAGTTCGTTCGCAAACCTCGCTCGTTGGATGATCTCAAACGGTTTAAAGCTACCGAGTTTCGACAAATTTTAATGTACACAGGGCCACTTGTATTCAAAACTACCTTGTCGAAGGATCGTTATGCCAATTTCTTAAGCCTTCATGTTGCTATGAGGATTTTTTCAAATGAAAGCCACTTGGCAGAACATGGAGATTACGCTCATGATTTACTAAAGTATTTCATAGATACCTTTGTGATTTTGTATGGGAAGGAAAATGTGTCACATAATGTGCATAATCTTTTGCATCTGCGGGAAGATTGCAAAAATTTTGGCGTGTTACAAAACTTTTCAGGATTTCCATTTGAAAATTACTTACAGTCATTGAAATTACTAATTCGCAAAGGTAGCGACCCTTTACCACAAATTATTAAAAGAATAATAGAAAAAGATTGTCGTCACACTGATGCAAAAAAATATCATCAAGTATCAACTACTACACCTAAACCAAATAAATTACACAATAATGGACCTTTACTAAATCATAATCGAACTCGTAACATTTTATATCAATATAAAGAATTGTGTTTTGAAAAGTTTACAGTCAAACTAACTGAAAGTGATAGCTGCTGTGGATTAACGGACGGAAACATAATATGCATAAAAAATATTGTAACAAATGCTGATAATGAATTGTATGTAATTGCACAAAAATTTAATTTAAAAACAAACTTATACTTTCAACCACTTCCATCATCTGCACTGAATATTTATATTGTAAATGATTTAGGTCCTTTAGAAGTATGGAGTGTTGATGAGATCACATGCAAATATGTTAAAATGAGATATAATGATAGGTTTGTTGTAGTACCTTTACTACATTGCTAGCAAAACATCTAGGTATAAAGTTCTCTATTGCGATCTATTTTGTTACAAGCTGTTGTATTAGTTTTTCTGTGTAACTTATTCAATGTTTTTAGAAACCTAGTAGCAAATGAGCAAAATTAGTACGCGAGCGAGTTTTAAACTTGTACAACGAGCATAGGTACAAGTTTTGCTCACTTGAAATCAAATTCTGCAATTAGTATGTGCAAGCTATATTATGTATGTGTATTTAATATACCTAGGTAAACAATTCAGATACCTTGATTTCTGAAATATATGCATGTCGTATATTAGAAATAGTGATTATCAATTAATAGTTGCTTTATCGGGGTAAGTGCATCTTGTATAAATTTCATGTTTACTAAAAATAGTAGTTCAGACATTGTCAAATGCATGTATATTATTAAGAATTATTTTGTGGCAGTGTGACTAATATGGATAAGGTTGTGGATAATCAGCAGAATAAAACATGGTCCGTTATAAAATTTCCGGACGAGAAATCAGTTTCTGCTGTTCCATCTTCGTGGATCGTAGGAAAAAAATGTTACTGGCCCCCTTATAGTGAGAAAGCACTTCGAGCAGCGATCGAAAATAATGAAAGCCCAAATTTCCAAGTTTGGCAATCATATACATTTGAGAGCTTTCGAAACAATGTGTTTGGTGAGTATAAATATTTTTCTCTCGATCTTTCTCTTATCTTATAATATTTGAAGATACTTTTAAAGAAGCAGACAAAAAGTCCCTAAAAGCCACGAAAACTTCTGACCTAGAATCTGGTTGTGAGACAAAGTCATACACTTTTTCCTCAAAAAAAAGAAAAATTTTTCGAAAAACTGTCAGCTTTTCTTCGGTGGAAGAGGAAGGTGAAGAAGAGGAAGGTGATGAAGAAGAGGAAAGCGTTTTGCCAGACCCACCTTCATTCAAAAAACAACGTGAGTTCTACTTTATAAAATATAATTTATTTTATTATCTGTTACAGGCAGAGAATTACAACCAAATGTGGAAATAAATACCTTCGACCAAAATGAACTTCTGAAAAGTAAGTGATAGGTATTTTGTTTAACACTTTTATTGAGATTTATTCCTGATAAACGTATACTATATTGGGGTTTCAATGTAGGACAAGAGGAGCGACGAAAAAGAGATATACTGCCCCAAAGAAGTGAGAATTTATCCACTCCACGTGTCAGCGAGGAGAACAATGAAGAGTCTGATTCAAAAACAATTATTAGTGAGTTCAATATTTATAAGGTGTATATCTATATTTGTACTTTGTATCTAATTTTCTAGAATACCTTCAAAGTATAATTAGAAAACAGAACATTTTACACTCCACGTTACTGGATATAACTAATCGTTTATCAAATATTGAAAATAAGAATACTGTGCTACAAATAGAAAATAGTGAGTCTATTTTTATCACATTGGAAAATCTGCCTGTTAATACGGAAGAAGACTTAGCAGTACTAGAAGATCATTTAGGAGAAGGCATGGAGCATGCTGTGAGTGTAATTTTTATTAAAGTTCGTAGGCATAATAATTATTTTATTTTTTGATGATGGTTTTACTAATTTGTACATTTTGACACCACTACTCTCGGGACAATTGTGTTTTAAATTTAAGTAATAATAGCATAATATTTGTTCACATTTGAAGTATGGCTTCATAGTACAACTGACTATCAATTTTTAGATATAATTAGTGACATAATTCAAAATCATTTAAGATGAATATAATTTATTAAGTGATAATGTTGTAGGTTAACGAGTTATCCAATTTGGGTGGTGCCACAATATATGATTTTATATTTCGGGCCACTGAAAAGTTAATAACAAATAATTTCTGTGGCATCCACTACAGTTACGAGGGGAAAAGAAAGAAAAAGGCATTTCGTAACCTTAAATTGCATGAACTATTGATAAGTAAGTATTAGTTTCATTACATTCTCAAAATAATTTATATTTATATTCTGCAGAATCATCGCTCGCATTATTCAAAAATGTTACCATTAAGGACGTTGAGATAAGTATCCAAAAATGGATCAGACGGTGCTCAGAAAGAGCGAAGGCTACCAAACATAAGTAAAATATACGAAAAGGTGCCATTTGTAAATATTGAGTGTTGGTTGACTTTGTTTCATTTAAGAGTTATTGTTTGTTTTTATTTTAATATGTTTTAGGTATAATATACATTCCATATTATTAACATGCTGCATTCTTTCTATACCTACTTTTGCACTAAGGATTGAAATAAAAATAACAATAGAATTATTTCAAGGATTTATGCAACTACACTGCCATTGCCATTGCTTAAGTTTTTATTTCATTAAAATTCAAGTATAAAGAAGTGAAGGTGTCTCAATCTAAATTAATGATGATAAAGTAGGTTCTCATGAA